ACACGATGAGCAAATTTACAGAAAATTTCTCATTAGCAACAGCATCCTCCGGTAAACACACCCAGACAATGTACTTTTACAAAGCAAAAATGTTCATCACCGCGAGTCTGGTCACATCACGGCATGCGTGACAAGTGAAAGGCGGATGTGACAGGCAGCTCTTCTAACTTTATTTTTTCATATCAATCACAACACCAAAGGGCTTATCTGGAAAGATCACTTATTGCGTGGGGGTCCCAGTAGCATGTTAAAACAAGTAAGTCCAGTTCAATGTTTATAGTGTTGTCGTCCTCCACAAGGCTTCCCGTCCCCGCTTAAATTAAAAGATGGATGGAGAACTAGAGGGTTTCAATTCCAAGTACGACGGAAATTTTTCGAAGGTTTTGTTATAATTTGCCAGGTTATATACTTTTTCCCGACAAACCACGCTGCGTTTAGTTCAGAATTTTCCAACGTATGGTGACTTGTGAATTAGTAACGAACTAGTTGAATACCGGAAATAGGCCGAACAAATTGCTAAGAATATATCACATCACACCACAGAACGGAATTTGGCTCAAATATTTTATTACCGAAGCCCTAAAATTCCTTCGACATTTCAAAATGAAAAATAATTAATATTTAAAAAAAGTAAAACGCCGTGAATAGAATATTCCAAAGATGCGCGTTCAGTTTTGAGGATTTACAAAGATGTTATTTAGGTCGGCGTTTTGGTTTATGTGAAGGAACGTTTCTTTTTTCCTTCAAAAGTACTAAATTGTATACTACACTGAAAATGATCGGGTTTTCTTGCACACGCAGGTTAAATCTCCATCTGATCAGCACCATGAGAGGAAGACAAATCTTAAAGGAGGTCAGTGTCACGGTTTTGCGCTTCTTGAAAAGTTTAGCCGAAATGTTTCAAGGTGCAGTTGGTTGTTTTAGCTTCGAATGAATCGTATTCATCCTTGCTCTTTTATGGTTAATTGTTATCTCTTTAGTCTTTTCCTATCTTTATAGAAACTACTGTTTCCAGGTTTCCTTGAAATAACTGTACGTAATAACTCAAACTATTGTGATTGAGCTCTAAGCTCTCTGCACTGACAACTCAATAAAAAGCCTGCTACATTATAATTAAATACATGTATAACAGGAAGATAGCTAGGAAAACCATGGAATTGTCATACCGTAAATTCGCGCACGACGTGTTGCTTGGGTTGACCTTGCTTTAACCAATTAACTCAAGATAAGTTCAGTCAACTAAAGGCACTTCTTGCTTAGCAAGGAAACGAAGCGAGTCGTCGTGTCTTCTCCAAGAATATTCTTGGTACATCCGCTATCGGTGCTTCTTTCGGTTTCTTGAAATGACGTTTGCTAGATAAGGACGTCATCATTAAAATCCAGCTCGTTGGGACTAGACTGTAAAAGGCATTCGCCGCCGTATTTAGATAAAAATTCCTAGCAATCGAAAACTACCTCGAATGCTTGTGTCAATACGTCAAGGTTTGATAGTTAAGGGAAAAAGTAGTGTTGTCTGTTTCCACTGCCGTGACATGTGTGTGTCCATTACGAAACCAAAAAGTTCTTATACTTGCTATGCATTTTGGCTTATTGTTATTATTATTTTTTCAGTATATCTTAAACCAAGAGCAGATGATATATAGCCGAAGGTCGTCGACCAGGGTAAGGCGGAAGGTAACGTCCAGTTCGCGCAGCTTCGGTTTTTTTTTTTAATATGTACATAATTTTAGCAATGTCACGATAACGGACTAGGAGAAATTGTATCATCATTTCTTGCGCCTGCGATGAAGACTAGAATACGTGCAATTGCTATTTCTGACCTCGTCCAAGAGTTATGAATCACATGCTTGTATCTCCGTCAGCTATTTTGGTTTCGGAAGAAAGCGAAATAAAGAGAAAGAATTACGTGCCGAAAAAAAAAGCATTAACAGCAGAAATTAAAACTAGATAATAATTCAAACTGCAATTGTAGAATATGTAACGCGTGTCCGTAGCGCATAACGCGAGCGTGACTGCTTCAGTATCGTGAAGATCGAGACCGTGTGCTCTGGGAGGTAATGTAATTACACAATAGGACGCTATGTACACAAAGTAAACGTTGTTTTCCTCCTGTACACTTGGAGATTCCACACAATCAGCTGTGAAAGGGCAGGGGAGAGTGTGGGTCCCAGTCCCTCTTCATTTTCGTTGGAGTATTCAGCCCCCTCCCCCCGGGGGCCCTCCCATATGCAAAAGTCGGGGATGCAATTTTCACACCCTAACTGCCTCTCACCCTTCGTTGATAAGGGCATGCGTCGTTAATGAGGGCATTGTGACTAGATTAAAAAGCTATTAAAAATGTCATTGAGCTGTTTTACACTAGGGGTCGGCTCGATAAAAGAGCATAAATATTCATCATAACTCTTGATTCTGGTCCGCTTAATAAAGTATGGAAAATCAATAACAATATATAAATCAGTAAGAGAATNCAGAAGAGCAACTTTGCTAATACAATTTTTAGAATTCGAAACACAACATATGTTGGACAAAATTAATACCTGACGCTTTCTTTTCCCTCTAAGCACAAATTTATCGCTGTAAATCACAGACGTTGCAAGAAGTAGCTCTTGATCCTCAAAATCCTTCATTCTTTTGGCATCCAGTTCTGCATTAGCCAGTACAGTGCGGAGATCTGGGTCTGAAATGTAGTCCTGACTTAAGTTGCCAAGCTTCAGGACTCCCTGCTCATCACTTGATTTGAACGTTCCCTCGGTCACATGTCCTCCTATCTCTACGCGGAGCTCATGAGAACTAGGTTTAAGGAAAACAAGAACTATGACGTGCGTTAGTCGATATATTACGTTCTGTGAACAACACTTCAACTTTCTCAGCTACAGGATGCAATGTGTACATTCTGGTTCAGTATAACTATTTGGAGGTTAACCACCATAATATAAAGCTTGAACAGTAGTCCAAGCCATGAATGACTTATTCGGATAAGAAGTGTAGCAAATAAAAGATGGATTTGAATTTAATGGCCACTTAATGCATACCTTGACCCCATGCCAACTTTTTGTGTCTTTAAGAACTCTTCTTTTGTGATTTTGGACCTAACGGATTCAAGGAATGCTTCTTCTTCGCCGCTCTCCACATATCTCTCAAGTCCTGCAAGAATTACCATTTCCAATTTTGCAAACGGACGCTTCCATATCGACCGACGTTGTTTGACTACCAGTGCCAAAGGCTTGACATTTTCTGTTTCACCGTGGAGGACTGGTAAGTACTTGTCGCTAAAATTCTCCTGGGCAAATCTTCGAAGTGAGTTTGCAATCATCTGAAAACAAAACGGGGATAAACATTATCTGGAATTCCTATTATAACAGTATAATAGAGATAACAGAGGAAAGTCACCGCATGAACGTGACAGTTACATCTGTGTGAATTCAGCACGGCCTGTTGATAGAATAGCTTTGGAGTAAAATCGAAAAGCAAACGTAGTCCTGCCCAGCGTTTGACAGTGAGTAACTCGGTGCGGTTTTTGGTGTAGTTCTTAGATCTATAGAGTACAATGAATGTAATGTGTCACGAAAGCTCAGTCCCTTTTCTTCACTACTTCACAACAGATATTAATACTGAAAGAACTAAGTTCGTGGATATAAGTAGGCCGAAAGCTAAGACGAATCAATTTACGAAACCCAGTATTTCACGGACGGAGTGGTGTGTCGAGATCACGATTCATTTAGTCAAGCACTGAACCTAATTATTGTCCAAATGTGGCAGATATTCATAGACAAGAACTCTCACAAAACATTTTGCTCTACATCTATAGGTGGCAAATGAACATCGGTAATTCTCCTTGTGTCAGGCGAACTGCCTAAAGGCTGGCAACTATAAACCATTGGCTGCCTTCTCAGTTGATATATAGAATGAGAAAAAGCTAGGTAGTTTGGAAAACGTACCGTGAACTCCCGGCTGGCTTAGCTGCTTGAACGTATAGTACCATAAACCTTGTAGATTGACGAATGAAAACTGAAATCATACTGAAGACCATAGATATCCATGACATAATAAAAAAACTGACAACTTCCGGTATAGTAAAAACAATAATAAAATAGAATTCTTAACCATGAAAATAGAAACTCGTCATCAGATAACATGAAAGCAAAACTGAGCGCGTTGAAGCAACGGAAGTCTGGTGAATAAATAAACAATGTTCTTCCCCGCTAGTTTTTAACAAAAACAGAGCGTTTGTTTTTTACAATAACAAATTGTCGACTTGTCCGCTCTCGCTCGTCGCGTCAACATTGCATAGACTATAAATTCATGCGCCTGTGCGTCCGTTTATTGACAATGAAAGCTAGCCAATGAGCGCGCGAGAATTTTTGCAGTTATTGTAAAAATATTTATTTAGGACAAAAACAAGGTTTGTTAGGTTAGGGGGATTCTGGACGACGTTTATCTTTAAAGCGATCGCCAAATCGTTTCATCTTTGTCAGTTATGTAGCAAAATGTCTTTATTATGTTTGATTCAAGTATTGGCTTCCGTTCACTGAAAGACATTTAGCTTCGATCTTCCGCTGC